TCTGGATACAGGATCACTTACAAGTGTAATGTCAAAAGCTTTTGCTGACAAATTAAATCAGTTTATTGAAAAACCATGTAATCTTTATTTTTCTGATATTAATGGTGGAAAAAAATGATCACCAGGAATTATTAATAATATACCCTTCAATTATTTGATATCACTATCTCTATTGATGTGGAAGTAAATGATGCCCAAGGTTATGTTATAATTGCTGAAGTTAGTTGGCTTAACAAAGTGAAGGGTATTATCGATTTAAAAAAAGAACAATTTAAATTTACTTGGGAAAACAAATCTTATATTTTACCTATTACATGTTGGGAAAAGCCACAATATAATAATAGTAAGCCTATTCCTTTAAAATTCACTTTAAGTCTAATAACTCAAATAATCAAACTCTAGTTGTTGAAACTCATGAATATAGTGAGGATGGATGAATATGAATCATCTGATAATGAACTGGAGGAATCCAAAGGATTTTTAGTTATAGGAAATTCTGATAAAAAACCTATATTTGAAATCAATAATACTCAAGTTAAATACTAAAATAAATCTTTTGATAACTATAACTTTTATTCTGAGCCTCAAACTATTAAATGTTATTGTGCTCAGCCACAAAAAACATATCCAAAATTAGGGTCCGGAATCGGGCTGGGCTACTCAGGCCCGGGCCCGAACCCGATCTGCAAAAGTTTTGGGTTGGGCCTGCATTGTTAGGCCCGTAATTAGAATGGGCCGGGCTCAGGCTAAGCCCGTCAAAATACCAGATCGGGCCGGGCTTTGAAAAAAGCCCGCAAACCCCAAAAGTTCATGTTTGATTTTTTACCAATTTACGCTTTATGTGCATAAATTCATGACTTTGAGAGTATTGTGGGTAATCAATATGTTAGAATCATCTCTCATAAGCGTGTATATCGTGCCTGAAGTTAAAACTTGCTTGAAGTTGTAACTGAAGTTGCATTTGACCGAAATTAGTCCTTGAAATTAGAAGAAGAGATTGATTGATAGACACTACTGCCTTTACAGTGTGCCTTTAGGAGTTTAAAAACTGTGCTGAGTTT